TGTATATAAACCACAATTTCTTTATCCATTCATCAGTTGATGGACATTTAGGCTCTTTCCATAATTTGACTATTGTTGAGAGTGCTGCTATAAACATTGGGGTACAAGTGCTCCTATGCATCAGTACTCCTGTATCCCTTGGGTAAATTCCTAGCAGTGCTATTGCTGGGTCATAGGGTAGGTCTACTTTTAATTTTTTGAGGAACCTCCATACTGTTTTCCAGAGTGGCTGCACCAATTTGCATTCCCACCAACAGTGCAAGAGGGTTCCTGTTTCTCCACATCCTCGCCAGCATCTATAGTCTCCTGATTTGTTCATTTTGGCCACTCTGACTATTTATTGTTGAGAGAGAGGGAGGGAGGATGTTGGGGAGGGGCAGAGAGAGAGGGAGACACAATCAGAAGCAGGCTCCAGGCTCTGAGTTGTCAGCACAAAGCCTGACGCAGGGCTCGAACTCTCAAACCATGAAATCATGACCTGAGTTGAAGTCAGATGCTTAACCGACTGAGCCACCCAGGCATCCCTAAAAAATGTCTTTAATGTAAGCTCTTATATTCTGTTTCACCTTTTATTTAGTTCTGCACATGTGTATGTCTGCACACACACATGCACCCACATCTCATGGAACTCCCTACTCATTGCACATATTAATGGCTTTTTTGAGATATAAGTTACATAGTGTGCAATTCACTTGTGCAAGTATACACTTTAATAGTTTCTGGCATATTCCCCAAATCATAGAACCATCACTACAATGTTAGAGCATTTTCATCACCTCAAAAAGAACCTTCATACTCATTAGCCATATTCCTCCCAGCTCTGCCTGCCTGTGGCAGCCACTCATCTCCTTTCCGTCTCTATTGATGTGCCTATTCTGGACAGTTCATACCAATGGGATCAAACAGTGTGTGGTCTTTTGTGACTGGCTTCTGTTACTTAGCATAATGTGTTTGAGGTTCATTCATGTTATGACATGTTTCCCTTTACAGTGTAGGATATTATTCTGTTGTATGGATATACATTTTATTATTCATTTATTAGCTCATTGATATTTGGGTGTTTTTTTTTTTTTATTGCAATCTTATTAGGAAAAAGAATCATTGAGTTTGCTTGTACACTTTGGAACATAGCTTTAGGAACTGTATATGAGGATTTACTTGGCCTGTCCTTGAGAAAGTAGGCAGTGTCTATTACTCATATCTCAGATGTGAGTAACTGGTCTATACATTGTAAATATTAAGTATGTTTTAATCTTTATATTTTTTATTTTATTTAAATTCTTTTTTATACACCTTTTTTTATTTGTACTGTCATTTTGTCTATCTAAGAGTTTTAAGTTTAAAAGATAGAGTGTGTTCCTTATATAATACCTAGAAGCCAAGGCCAAAGGGAGTGTGAGAATGAAGTGAGCCTTTACTAGTGGTATTTGCTTTGATACCAGGACAGAGCACTGGGCAACTGATTCAAGACAAGACTGCCGAGGATTAAGTATGCAGCGGGAAGCCGCTGCTGTAGCGGGAGGAGTAGTAGGCATACACGTGACTGGCGGTGCAGCAGGATCTGCTGGGTGATTTGGGAATCAATCTTTTGAAGTCTTTCCGTATCTATGAAAAACATATAAAAACCTCTTATTATCTCAGATCTGTTGGGAAGTTGAAATAAGGTAATAGATCTGAGAATCTTGGATAAATATGTGATTATTTTACTTTATAAAGATGGGGTCAGTTACATTGCCTTCAGTAATGCTGCAAAAGTTGGGACTCTGTGGCTGGACATTGCATCTGCTTCCTTCTAAATCTTCAGCTAAATCGCATAGGTTATCTTCTTTTCCCTCTCCCCACCCCCATTTCTGTTCTGAACTTTGTTAGAGAAAGTTATGAGCCTGGGCTAATTAGTTCCATTCAGAATTCATTTTATTTGGCCTCATCTAGGTGCTTGCTACTGAGGCATAGTTTTAAGTTACTCTCTTCTGCATTTCCCATGGTGCCTAGTCCACACCGGTTGCTTGTGTCTGTGTCCTCACCTTCAGTAGATACCATGTCTTGTGGCTCACCAACGCCAGCTAATCTGACTTGCCTCCAGCTCTGCCTTTCCATTTTAAGGCGTCTTGTAATTTCTGACCTCTTCTTTCCTGTTTCTCATAACAGCAAGACAGATTTCTTAAGACATTTCTAATTAATTTCCTTAATGAGAAAAAGACATTTCTTTTTTTTAAAATAATTATATTTTTGATTTTGATTCCAGTGTAGTTAACATATGGTGTTATATTAGTTTCAGGTATATAATATGATTCACCAGTTCTGCATTACACAGTACTCCTCATGATAAGTGTACTTTTTTTTTTTTTTTTTTGAGGGGGAGAGAGTGTGGGGAACGGGTAGAGAGAGAATTTTAAGCAGGCTCCATGCTCAGTGCAGAGCCTAATGTGGGGCTTGATCTCATGACCCTGAGCTCATGACCTGAGCCGAAATCAAGAGTTGGACACTCAACCAGCTGAGCCACCAGGTGCCCCGATAAGTGTACTCTTTAATCCCCTTCATGTATTTCACACATCTCCCCACCTACTTCCCCTCTGGTAACCATCAGTTTGTAGTGAAGAATCTGTTTCTTGGTTTGTGTCTCTTTTTGTTGTTGTTATTCCTTTGTTCCTTTGTTTTATTTCTTAAATTACACATATAAGTGAAATCATGTAGTATTTGTCTTTCTCTGACTTGTTTTGCTTTGCATAATACTCTAACTCCATCCATGGTATTGCAAATAGCAAGATTTCATTCTTTTTTTATGGCTGAATAGTATTCCATTGTATATGTGTATACCACGTCTTTATCCATTCATCAGTTGATGCACACTTGGGCTGCTTCCATAACTTGGCTGTTGTAAATAATGCTGCCATAAAGGAGACATAATATTTCTTAAGATAAATTCATCTACCTCCTGTACGACA